GTTTCACTCTGCGCTGAACATCTTCAGACCAAAAATACGTCAAACTTCCCAGGTACACCCAAAATGCCAAAAAAATTTTGGGTTGCAAGGTGAAAATTTCGATTTTCCTTGAAGTTTTCACCAAACTGGGCTCACAAAATTTTTCAAATTTCAAGTTCGTGAAACCAGCACAACGTTTCACTCTGCGCTGAACATCTTCAGACCAAAATTACGTCAAACTTCACAGGCGAACCCAAAATGCCAAAAAAATTATGGTTTGCTGGGTGGAAATTTCGATTTTCCTTGAAGTTTTCACCAAACTGTGCTCACGAAATTTTTCAAACTTTGATCCCGAGAAAACGGAACAACGTTTCAGTCTGCGCTGAACATCTTCAGACTAAAAATACGTCAAACTTCCCAGGTGCACCCAAAATGTCAAAAAATGTGGGGTTTATGGGTGGAAATTTCGATTTTTCTTGAAGTTTTCACCAAACTTTGCAAACAAAATTTTTCAAACTTTGAGCCCACGAAAACAGCACTACGTTTCACTCTGCGCTGAACATCTTCAGACCAAAAATACGTCAAACTTCACAGGCGCACCCAAAATGTCAAAAAACTTATGGGTTGCTGGGTGGAAATTTCGATTTTCCTTGAAGTTTTCACTAAACTATGCAAACAAAATTTTTCAAACTTCGAGCCCAAGAAAACAGCACAACGTTTCACTCTGCACTGAACATCTTCAGACSAAAAACACGTCATACTTYCCAGGGKCACCCAAAATGCCAAAAAAATGTTGGGCCGCTGTGGGGAAATTTCGAGTTTCCTTGAAGTTTTCACCAAACTGTGTAMACGAAATTTTTCTAACTTCGAGCCCGAGGAAACAGCACAACGTTTCACTCTGCGCGGAACATCTTCAGACCCAAAATACGTCAGACGTTCCAGACGCACCGAAAATGCCAAAAAAATGCGGCGTTGCCTGCAAAAAATAGGGATTTTTCTGCAAGTTGCCAATAAACTGGACAATGAAAACTTGGGAAACTTCAAGCGTGCCAAAACTGCACAAGAGTTCACTTTTCGCAAAACACCCTCAGAACAAAAAATACGCAAAGCACTCCAAGCATCCAGAGGATGTCAACAGCTGCGACGTTGCCTTGCTCCAAAGTAGCATTTTCGGGGATTTTCCCGAGAACAACTGCAAATCCAGCTCGGACCAACACAGCCAACTAACTAAACGGTTTGCCAATAGAAAAATAAACTGAAACGGGCTGCGTTGCCATGTTTGGCGAAATGTCTAATTTATCAGGATTTTTATCCATTAGTTGCATCCGTTCTCAGGCGGGAACTCGGCAAATATGCTAGCGATTTTTGAAAAGATCTTGCCCAGTTTTGACAGCGAATTCCAGAAAAACTGATGATGCCCCCGGTTCGAAACTTTTTGGGTTGTGCGGGCCAACGCCGCTCTTTTTAACGCTGGGAACGGCAACGCTGCAGCTGGTATAGTTTTCCCATAAATCCAATTGTCGCAACCTTAAACGAAAAAACTGCAGAAAAGCGGGTGTAATTGAAAAATCCTGCTGGCTAGCCTGATGATGGCAGCCATTCGAAACTTTCCAGTTCTATAGAGTGAGCCTTAGTCTTTTTAACGGCGGAAAGGCCAAGTGTGGGCTGGTTTGGGTTCTTCGGATGTTGACATCCGATGTAATGGCAACCGCGCAAAAGGCCTGATGATGGTGGGGGGTGAAACTTTTTAGGTTGCCGATGAACCAAAGGTTTGTTGTTTAAAGGGGTTGAGAATTTTGCCTGTGGCGCTGCTGGGGTTGCAGTGAGGCTGTTCGGAAGAACCCCTTGAGGAGTCTGATCTTGCAGCCATTAGGGGATTTTTTGGAAAATTGCTGCTTTCACATTGAGGGTGTTACAAAGTTCAAATTTTCTGGGAGTTTTAAGTGGGGTTTGCGCTTGCAAATGGGGCAAAAACCTATCATTTGGCTGCGGGGGTTTGGGTGTGAGGCACTTCGGAAAAAGGTTGGCCCCCGCCAGGTCTGTTGGCGGCAAGCGGCCCTTTCAAAGGGCGCCGCCCTCGAACCAAAGGGGCTACGGAGATGAAATTTTCCCAGCCGCTAGCCCAGACGTGTAGGTTTCAGATGAGGCTAAAATCGGGCCAGTAGTGGTAGGGGCTGGCTGGTGAGGCCAGTTGGAAAAAACAATTGTCGTCGTTTGCCCCTGTTTCGGCACAAACTTCGTCCAGGAGGGCACTTTTAAGTGGGTTTTTGGGCGAAAAGTGGATTTTCCGAGCCGGGTGGGTGTCCGGTTCCGGTCGAAAAATGTGTGACGCAAAATCGGCCAGCAAATGCGAAGAAAGAGGCAAAACCAGGCGCCTCCAGTGCCGACATTCCACGCATTTGGCAAGGTAAGGTCGGCCACTTTTTCACCACGTTCTAGGATACGTTCAGGATATTTTCGTTATTCAATTGAAAGAGCAGTTGAACGATCTAGGAAGGCGGTTCAAGGCGACGCGATCGGAAAACACGACAACAGCAGCCTACTCGATGAATTCAATCGGTCAAAGATCGCCGATTAGTTGGGGAAAATGGCCTGCAGTCGCCCAGGGTTTGGAGAAAATTTCGGCTTTTTCCTCGCGAAAATGTGCCCGAATTGGTGCTGATTAAGGGCCTTTTTGGATTTTTGAAATCGGCCCCGTATTAAGCGAGTTATCGGGTAAAGTTGGGGGATCGTTAGTTCTAGATTGAGTCACAAACGTTCCTGGGCCCACTAACGTTTGGACTGATTTTGGAAATTAATTGCGCAAAATCGGGAAAAGCTACACAGTCGGCTGCGGTGGCCCTGGAAAGAATGGGCTTTTGGCTATGAGCTGGCAGGTTGCGGACGCGGCACCATCCTCAGGGTGGTTTTGGCAAATTAATCAACTTGGGTGAAAATGTGCTTAAGCAAATTGCTGGCAACCACCTTTCGAGAACTAATTGCGGACCTTTGGAGAGAGACAGGATTTTTGCTGGCACGCCCCTGAATAGAGCCCACTTTGGTCTGTAAAACACCCAGTTTCGAACCGAGTCCCATCCTCAGGCCGGTTTTGACAGCTTAAGGAAGTTAGTGAAAATGCAGTTGAGCAAACTGCTGATAAACAATTTTTGAAAATTATTTGCTATAACTCGGGCAAAGGTAGAAACTCAAGTGGTACGGCACTGCATGGGGCGCAGCACTATCTGCTAACGAACAGGTTTCGAACGCAGCACCTTTCTATAGAAGCATTTTTTTGGAAGAACTTCTAGAAGAGCGTTTTTGGAAAGTTTTCGCACTGTTTGCCTCAAAACGTGCGCAATTGAGGGCCGGGATTAAAATATCAAAATGTCGAGAAAAGTCTGTGGTTTGGGCTTCTGAAAGAGGGTTTTGCGAATCGGAAGTGCCGTAATGCGCCAAAGCTACAGCCGGATGAAACCCACGAAAAACATTTTTCTGCACATTCCTCACTGATTTGCTCAAAAAGGGCGCAATTGAGGGCCAAATTGAAAATCTCCTAAAGCCGCAGAAAGCGTACAGTTTGGGCTTTCAATAGAGGGTTTCGAAGACCGGAAGTGCCTCAAGACACCAAAGCTACAGCCCGATGAATCTCTAGAAGAGCATTTTTCCAAAGTTTTCGCACTGTTTACCTCAAAAAGAGCCCATTTGAGGGCCGAGTATAAAATCTCAAAACGACCTGGAAAGTGGTGAGTTTGGGCTTTTAAAGGAGGGTTTCAGACGCCGGAAGCGCCTCAAAGGGTCAAAGCTGCAGCCGGATGAATATCAGAAGAAGCGTTTTTAGGAAGTTTTCGCACTCTTTGCCTCAAAAAGAGCGCTTTTGAGGGCCGGGATTAAAATATCAAAAAGCGGAAAAAAGTCAGAAGCTTTGGCTTTCGAAAGAGAGTTTTGAAAACCGGAAGTGCCTTAATGCGCTAAAGCTACAGCCGGATGAAACCCACAAAAAACATTTTTCTTCACATTTCTCATTTATTTCCTCAAAAAGAGCGCAATTGAGGGCCAAATATAAAACCTCAACAAGCCAAAGAAAGTGTGCAGTTTGGGCTTTCAATAGAGAGTTTCGAAGGGCGGAAATGATTCAAGACACCAAAGCTACAGCCCGATGAATCTCTAGAAGAGCATTTTTCCAAAGTTTTCGCATTTTTTACCTCAAAAAGAGCGCATTTGAGGGCCGCGTATAAAATCTCAAAACAACCTGGAAAGTTTTGAGTTTGGGCTTTTAAAGGAGGGTTTCGGACGCCGGAAGCGCCTCAAAGGGTCAAAGATACAGCCGGATGAATATCAGAAGAAGCGTTTTTCGAAAGTTTTCGCACTCTTTGCCTCAAAACGTGAGCAATTGAGGGCCGGGATTAAAAAATCAAAAAGTCGAAAAAAGTCAGAAGCTTTGGCTTTCGAAAGAGGGTTTTGAAAACCGGAAGTGCCTTAATGCGCCAAAGCTACAGCCGGATGAAACCCACAAAAACCATTTTTCTTCATATTTCTTACTTATTTCCTCAAAAAGAGCGCAATTGAGGGCCAAATTTAAAACCTCAAAAAGCCAAAGAAAGCGCCGATTTGGAACTTTCAAAACCAGGTTCGAGTAACCGGAAGAGTCCAAAGGACCGGAAGCTACCACGGATCAAAATCCGTAAAGTTGGCTTTTCGTAAAAAAACTCTCTGCACTCTTCACCTCAAAACACCGCCAATTGAGGGCCGATTTTGAGGTTTCGGCACGCAGATGAAAGCGAAAACTTTCAGCTTTTGAAAAAGTCGCTCGCCTCCCGGGTGCGGGCTACAGATCGGGAGCTACAGCCGAATGAATGCAGGAATAGAGCCGAGAGACACTTTCGGGCTTTTGATACTGCTGACAACATTCCAAACACCCCCCGTAACACCCACGCTGCGAGTGGGAGAGAGACACCAACAACGATCACCTTGACAACCACCCAAACTTTGTCCAACTCAATCGAAATACCGGGGCGCATTGTTTAGTTCACGCTGCTAGTGGTCGGGTTTCTCGCCTAATTTAGTCGCTCTGGCAACAGCGGTTTTAACGCCGCTCTTCGTCATCCATCCAGTTGGCCGGTTTAGTGTTCCTGGTGCATCTAGGGGGGCTGCGCAATCAGCAGCAGCACACTCAGTGACTACCAGTAAGTAATTTAGGGAATTTCCCGTATTTTCACACAAAAATCGGCTTCATCCGCATGTAAACAGTGGTAAACGCAGTCAAACCCTCTCAAGGTCGCAAAACGACTCGAGCTGCAAGTTAGAACCGCTGGCGCCATCTGCCGGCGTAGCCCCAATGACGCCCAAGCGTTCCCCTAACTGCCCACACCAGCTGCAAGTGCTCAACTTCCAGCCCACAGATGTCACCCCCTGTGCCATCGTGCGTCTATTGGGGTTGACGAGTCCCTCTCGCTCGCTCTCATGCCCCGACCCTGAGTTCATCACACTCACTCTCAAGGGAACGTCGCGCCAGCTGCCGGCACGCAGGCGATTTAAGGCGCTTTTGGAGGTGGCGGAGGGCCGCAATGACGTCATCCTGCAGTTCGGCTGCCGCCGACTGGAGGTTCGGTTGGACCACGTGCCTCCAAACTCACTTTTCACTGTGCTGCCCCTGTATGTGATCTGTGCGGGCCACAGTGGGGAGTTTCAGGGTGAGTGTGGACGATTAGGCGAATGCGCCGGGAGTTGTGGTCGGTTTGGCAAAGGCGCCTGCATGCAAGCTTTRATTTTTGAATTTTTTTTTAAGTGTTTGTTTGTCTGCAAAGTTGGCCGATGGTCAAATTTGTAACAGCTACCGCAAAAACGGCAAATTATGGATTTTTKMTGGGGGACAATTTGGARAAAMAATCGCCAAAAATCCAGTGTTTTTGCGATTTTGTCAAAAKTTACTCAAACAGCTRGAKGATTAATGKGGCCYCAAYTTACTGTAYAGAGTGTTGGGCATTTTCGGTCCAAGCGTTCAAGAAAATGGGTTYAACATGGAACGATTGAGGTCGAAWTGATCGAATTTMTGGTTKTTTGGGCGAATGCGCCAACATGCAAATTCCCTATTTTTTAAGTTGCTGATGTTTTTCACGGGTTTTCGTGTGTTTTATTGCATATTTGAGGGCCAAGTAGGCCYGTGCTTAGGCSTCTGCCCACGGTCGCTGAAAAAATGCCAACGCAGGATTTTTTCGATTTTTTCCCTAGAAAATTTGGAAAAAAAATGGCWAAAAATACAGTTTTTTTGCGATTTTGCCAAAATACACTCAAACAGATAGAGCATTAGCGTGGCCTCAACTTGCTGTCCAGTGTCGGGTATTTTCGGTACGAGTGTCCACGAAAATGGGTTCAAAATGAAAAGATTGGATTAWAAATGACCRAATTTCTGTTTTATTGGGCGAATGCGCCAACATGCAAATTCCTAATTTTTTAAGTTGCTGGTGTTTTTAACGCGGTTTGGTGTGTTTTATTGCATATTTGTGGGCCAAGTAGGCCTGTGCTTAGGTGGTTGCCCACGTTGGCTGAAAAAAAGACAGCGAAGGATTTTTTCGATTTTTTCCCTACAAAATTTGGAAAAAAATTCGCTAAAATACAGTTTTTACGTGATTTTGTCAAAATGCACTCAAACAGATAGAGGATTAGTGTGCTCTCAACCTGCTGTACCGTGTCGGGCATTTTTGGTCCAAGCGTCCAAGAAAATGGATTCAAAATGAAAAGATTGGGGTAAAAATAACCGAATTTCTGGTTGTTTGGGCGAATGCGCCAACATGCAAATTCCTAATTTTTCAAGCTGCTGATGATTTTCACCGGTTTTCCTGTGTTTTATTGCATATTAGAGTGCCAAGTGCGCATGTGCTTAGGCGTTTGCCCAAGTTGGCCAAAAAAGGCAAATTGTAGATTTTTTCCATTTTTTTTCTGTGGAAAATTTTGATAAAAAATTCGCCAAAAATCCGATTATTTCGCGATTTGGCAAAAACGCACACAAGCGGATAGATGATTAATGAGGCCTTAACCTGCTTCACAGAGTGTTGCGCATTAACTGTTAGAGTTGCTGATGTTTCTGCTCCAAAAAAGTAAAAAACAAAAGTTGATTTTCTGTGTAAAAAATTCATCATAACTTGCAGGGTTTTTGCTCCATTTTAGACGTGACAACGTTGGGCGTTAGAGAAAACCTCGGGCTTCAAGACGAAGTTGGAATTTTTCCAATCCGACTTGCACTCAGCGAGTTACACTAAAAAATTTCGAAAAAATCTCCAAAATTTTTTTCTGTGCGTAAAAAATTTCAGTCGTTCATAAGTTGTAGAGAAAATCGTCAGCTTTTCGACGCATTTGGAATTTTTCAAATCGGACTTGTATTAACCCAGATACAGTGAAAATTTCAAACAAAAAAAAGTGAGAAAAAAAAATTTCTCGCTGGGAAAAAATCTTTATAACTTCCAGATTTGTGCCTCGATTTCAGTCGAATCAACGCTCCAACTTAGGGAAAATCGTCCGCTTCAAGACGTATTTGGAATTTTTCAAATTGGCCTTGTATTAACCGAGATACAGTGAAAATTTCAAACAAAACAAAGTGAAAAAAATTTCTCGGTGGGAAAAATCTYTATAACTTCTAGGTTTGTGCCTCGACTTCAGTCGAATCAACGCTGGAACTTAGGGAAAACCGTCCGCTTCAAGACGCTTTGGAACTTTTCAAATCGGACTTGTCTTAACAGAGATACAGTGAAAATTTGAAACAAAAAAGTGAGAAAAATAAATTTTTCGCTGGGAAAAAAACTTCATAACTTCCAGGTTTGTGCCTGGATTTCAGTCGAATTAACGCTGAAACTTAGGGAAAACCGTCCGCTTCAAAACGCATTTGGAATTTTTCAAATCGGCCTTGTATCAACAGAGATACAGGGAAAATTTGAAACAAAAAAGTGAGAACAACAAATTTCTCGGCGAGAAAAAATATTTATAACTTCCACATTTTTCGCTCAAAATCAGTTGCGTCAACGCCGGCAGTTCTAGAAAATCATCAGCTGTAAGACGCATTAAAAACCAGAACTCCCGTGCTTGCGCGGTTGCCACAGTTGCCTCAAAAACGCCAAACTGCCGACTTTTTCAAACAAAACAAAGTGAGAAAAAGAAATTTCTCGCTGGGAAAAAATCTTTATAACTTCCAGGTTTGTGCCTCGATTTTAGTCGAATCAACGCTCGAACTTAGGGAAAACCGTCCGCTTCAAAACGCATTTAGAATTTTTCAAATCGGCCTTGTATCAACAGAGATACAGGGAAAATTTGAAACAAAAAAGTGAGAACAAAAAATTTCTCGGCGAGAAAAAATATTTATAACTTCCACATTTTTCGCTCAAAATCAGTCGCGTCAACGCCAGCAGTTCTAGAAAATCATCAGCAGTAAGACGCATTAAAAACCAGAACGCCCGTGCTTGCGGGGTTGCCACAGTTGCGTCAAAAACGCCAAACTGCCGCCTTTTTCCAGTTTCTTGCCCCCTGACTAACGCCCTGCCTCAAAACCAGCCCCCCCAACGGAGAACTGCGACCCGCAGAGCGCCTGCCGCCGCATCCACCTCGCCTCCAAACTCCTCCAGACCTTCACTGCCGAAAAACTGCAGGAAACCGGCTTGGGCCGCCGCACCTTCACCCTGGAGGACCGCTGCCACGTCTTCCGCTCCGCCCTCCCTGCAGAGGAGGCGCGCCGCATGTCGCAGGAGGCGCTCTGGACCCGAATCGGTACCTCCTCAAATTCCCCTCCTCCGCCAGCCCTCACCAGTCGAGTTCCAGGCCGCGACATCATGCGCTCTCCTCTTCGCTCTCAGCGCCGCAAGTATCTGGCGTTTCTCTCCTGCACACGCTACGACGGCCTCCGGTTCACCTCCGAGCTGACAACCCATGAGGACGCCCTCAAAATCACCGAAGCCTACGTGGCGTTGGGAGGAGGAGGGCTGGCGCTGTTCGGCTCCGCCTCCCTCCACTCCTGGCCCGAGGCCTTTGAGGAAATCGCCCCCCGCTTCCTGGACGCCACGCCCATCGACCCGCGCCATCTGCTGGACGACAGCTGCTACCGGTAGGTGCCCTCTAGCGGCGCATGCGCCCACTAACCCAGCTGTTCCAGCGGAACGCTGGGCGCCAGTTTCTCCACCACTTTGGGCGCAGTTCTGCACGAGTTGTTCCACTGTTTCGACTTGGGGCACTCGAGAGGGGGGGTAATGGGGCGGGGCTTCGACCAGATCAGCCGCTTCTACGTCTGCGCGGACGAGGGGGAGGAGGCCGAGGGGGATCGCACGCCCCTCGAGCGGAGCTGCGCAGTGCTGCTGGCTTACCATCGGTGAGTGTTGGGAGGGGGCAGCATTGCAGGGAAGGGGGCTCTTGTAGGTGGTTGGGCGGGTCCGCAGGTGCTGCGCGGGAGGTCAGTTTGGTCTACGACGCGCATAGCGGGGCGGTCAAGGCGACGGCAGGCATTCGGGTGGTGGAATTGAGGAGGAGGGAGGATCAGCTGATTGGGCGCAGCTGGACGTTCGAGGGGAGGGTGCTGCGCCACTTCTTCCAGCTGCCGCCAGAGGCGCGGCTGGCGCCGTTCCTGCTGGTGGTGGAGGACAATTGCGGCAACATTCTCAAGCAGGAGGCGCAGTGACTCTGCAAGAACTGACCATGCAAATAAAAGTATTTTTTCAACAACAACAGTTTTTTTTACCCAAAGTGTTCTCTACCCAGTGGCGCAACGCGCATGTTTTTGCCTGCTTAGTTTCTGCGCAATTAATTGCGCAGCTTGGCTCGACACCGACACCGGAATTTTTTTTAGCGCCAACTCAACTTCAAAGCGGCGCCAAAAATCAGCCAAAGAAGCCAGAGGAATGAAAAAAATCAGGCTTGTAACACAAAGTCTTCTCTACCCAGTGGGGCAACGCGCAAGTTTTTGCCTGCTTAGTTTCTGCGCAATTAATTGCGCAGCTTGGCTCGACACCGACACCGGAATTTTTTTAGCGCCAACTCAACTTCAAAGCGGCGCCAAAAATCAGCCAAAGAAGCCAGRGGAATGAAAAAAATCAGGCTTGYAASACAAAGTCTTCTCTACCCAGTGGGGCAACGCGCAWGTTTTTGCCKGCTTAGTTTYKGCGCAATTAATTGCGCARCTTGGCTCGACACCGACACCGGAATTTTTTTAGCGCCAACTCAACTTCAAAGCGGCGCCAAAAATCAGCCAATAAAGCCAGGGAAATGAAAAAAATCAGGCTTGTAAGACAAAGTCTTCTCTACCCAGTGGTGCAACGCACATTTTTTTTCCGGCTTAGTTTTTGCGCAATTAATTGCGCAACTTGGCTCCACTTGCGAGGTTGAAATTTTCACTCATTCAAAGCTGATTTTGGAAAATTTTTGCAGCCTAAACCAGACGGCGCAAAACCCAGAAGTTTCACCCGCTGGGAGCAGAAACTTCCCCCTCTACTTACCGGAAGTGTCACTCAAATCGAGCCAAAAATGTGAGAACTAGAGACATTTAAAAGGGAGGTTGCAACGTTAAAATGTTCACTTATTTAAGGCCAATTTTGAAAAATTCCTGCAGTAGAAACTAAACTGCGCAAACACCGGAAGTTGCCCCATTGTGGAGTACGAGCTCCTCTGTCGACTTGTCGGAGGATTCACTCAAATTGAGGGAAAATTGCGACAGCCAGGGTCTTTTAAAAGGGAGCTTGCAACGCTGAGATCTGCGCTTATTTAAAGCCAATTATCAAAAATTCATCCAGTCTGAACTAAACCGCACAGAAATAGGAAGTTTTATTATCTTGCAGGGTAAAGTTCGCTAACTGCTCTTCGGAAGTTTCACTGAAATTCAGGCAAAAATGCGGCAACCAGATAGTTTTAAATGGTGGCTTGCAAAGTTGAAAGTTTTACTCATTTAGCGCCAATTTTCAAAAATTCATCCAGTCGAAACTGGAACGAGCAGAAACCGGAAGGTTCCCCATCCTGGAATACATTCTCCACTGTCTAGTTGAAAGAAGTTTCACTAAAATTAAAGCAAAACTCCGGCACTCAGCTCCTTTTAGAGAGGAGCTTGCAACGTTAAAAGTTTTACTCATTTAAAGCAAATTTTCAAAAAAGCAGTTTAAACTGGAATGTTCAAAAATCGATAGGTTTAGTCGCATGAAGAAGAAACTTCACGCTCTGATAGACGGAAGTTTCACTCAAATTTAGGCAAAAATACGAGAACCAGAGACCTTTAAAGGGGATCTTGTAATGTTGAAATGTTGATTCATTTTACGCCAATATTAAAAAAATCCTGCAGTCCAAGCTTGATGGGACAAAGTCCGGAAGTTTCACCATCCGGAAGCAGCACGACAGCTCTGAAATTGGCGGAAGTTTCACTCAAATTGAGGCACAATTCCCACAACCAGAGACTTTTAAGGGGGAGCTTGCAACATTGAAATTTATGCTTATTTAAAGCCAATTTTCAAAAATTCGTCCAGTCTAAACTAAACTGCGCAGAAGTAGGAAGTTGTACTATCTTGGAGACTAAAGTTTGCTTACTGCTCTTCGGAAGTTTGACTGAAGTTAATGCAAAAATGCGGCAACCAGATAGTTTTAAATGGTGGCTTGCAAAGTTGAAAGTTTTACTCATTTAGCGCCAGTTTTCAAAAATTCATGCAGTCKAAACTGGAACGAGCAGAAACCGGAAGGTTCCCCATCTTGGAGCACACGCTCCACTGTCTAGTTGAAAGAAGTTTCACTAAAATTCAAGCAAAACTCCGGCACTCAGATCCTTTAAGAGAAGAGCTTGCAACGTTGAAAGTTTTACTCATTTAAAGCAAATTTTCAAAAATTCCTGCAGTTTAAACTCGAATACTCAGAAGCCGGAAATTTCACGCTATTCAAGACGAAAGTTCACTTTCCGCCTGCGGACAGCCCCACTAAAATTGAGTCAAGATTGCGTCATTCAGGGACTTTTAAAGAGGAGCTTGCAACGTTGAAATTTTCACTCATTCAAAGCCAATTTCCAAAAATTCG